GTGGCAGTGTGGGTAGTACTACTATTGATAAAATACAACCAACCACCACTATTACATTGAATACCATATTGAAGAAAAAGGGTAGGGAAGATGTATGCTTGGATATTTGTAGATGTTTTTATGCTAATGCCCTTCCTTTTAATTTGGTAAAGGATCCATATATTGTAAGAATGTTAGAATCTGTTGCATCGTTTGGCAAGAGATTGAAATCTCCATTGTATCATGAGGTGAGATGTTCTTTTTTGAAAAAAGAAACAAATTTGATTAATGGTGGGTTGATGAAAAATTATAAAACAAAGTGGAGAAAGACGGATTGTACTCTTATGTCTGATGGATGGACTGATGAAAAACATCACTCTATCATAAATTTTTTAATGAATAGTCCTAGAGGAAGTGTGTTTCTTAAAGGTATTGATACTTTAGGCATTTGTAAGAATGCGGGTAATCTTTTTGAGCTTTTAGATTCAATGGTAGAAGAGATTGGTGAGGACAATGTTGTTTAGGTTATAGCTAATAGTGCACCGGCTTATGTAAAAGTTGGGGAGTTGTTAATGACAAAGATGAAAAAATTGTTTTGGTCTCCCTGCGCTGCACATTGTTTAGATCTTATTTTGACGGATATTGGAGACCTTCCTCTACACAAGGATATAATGTCAAAGACAAGAAAAATCACAGTTTATATTTATAGACATTCTTGGGTGTTAAATTTTATGAGGAAGTATACAAAGAAAAGGGATTTGGTGAGAGCTTGTGTGACCAGATTTGCCACCTCATATTTAATTTTAAGGAGTTTATTTGAAAATAAAATTGGGCTTAGAGCAATGTTTGCTTCGGCAGAGAAGTCAATACTGTAAGAAGGGTGATGGTGTAAAAGTGATGAATATTATACTAGCTGACCAAAATTTTTGGGAATCAACCAAGTATTGCTTGAAGTGTGTGTTGTCATTGGTGAAGGTGTTGAGGTTTGTAGATGGGGATCTAAAGCCTGCCATGAGGTATATTTACGAGGCAATGGACAAGGCAAAGGAACAAATCCAAAAGAATTTTCGTACTATGAAGAAGCACTATGAGCCCATATGGACTATTGTTGATACTAGATGAAACATGCAATTACAAAGACCTCTTCATGCAGTTGCCTATTATCTCAATCCCGCATAAGATTGAAGTTTTTCAATTTTTATATCATTTTATATCTATATATTGTATACTGATCAATGATCATTGTAAATCAAAATAACTATTTCAGGTTTCATTACACTAGTAGTGCGGACTATGAGATAAAGATGGGACTTTATCAGACTATTCAGAGAATGTGCCCAAGTCCTATTGTGAGAGAAAAAGTTAATAAACAATTAGATATCTTTCATAATGCTGATTTGATGTTTGGAATGAACATGACAATCCAAATGAGGAAGAAAAAACAACCTGGTTAGTGGTAACCTAACTTAAGTTAGTCATTTGAATGCAATTGCTTAAGTTAGTTAATGGAGTATTCTATTATAATTTTTTATAGCCTTGTGGTGGGAATCATTTGGAGGATGTTGTTCAGAGTTGCAACAACTTGCTATCCGCATCCTTAGCTTGACTTGTAGTGCCATAGGATGTGAGAGGAATCGGAGTACATTTGACCAAGTGCACTCTAAGAGGAGAAATCGATTAGAGCAACAAAGATTAAGTGCACTTGTGTTTGTGAAGTATAATCTTCGATTGGAGGTAAGACACCAAAAGAGAATATTAGAGGGTGATTCCTATGATCCTATTTTTCTCTCAGATATGGAATCTGATGATGAGTGGATCACTGAAAAAGAAGATGCACTCCTTCCTGAGGACACTACTTGGATGAATGTTGATGAATGTTTTGAGGTTCAAGAAAGGACTAGCAAAAAGAGAAAGAGAGGTAAATAATATATAATTAAAATGTAGTGGTTGTTTTTTCTTCTTCTCCATTACTTTGATTTTTTTTTTATATTTTGTATTGGTTGCTTTGTAAGGCCTAGAAATCTTTCTTTAAATAAGAAAAAAGGGAAGCAAATAGTTTAACTTGAAGATGAGAATGAGGATAAGAATGAACAAATACAAGAAGTTGAAGATGATGAAGGAAGTGAAGACTTGTTGGCATCCGATCACAATGATGGTGATGATGCATTTTCAATTAAAATTAAAAATTGAGTTCAAAATGGATGTTAGAAATTTAGATTAGAAGTCTCTCTGGTGTTTGAAGTTTGAATTAGTGAACTATGGTTGTGAACTTTGCATTATAATAGTAGTGGATTATGTTGATGACTTGAATAGTTGGTTGAGTATTAATGAAATGTTATATTTTTATGAGTGTATGATTTTTTTTCAAAGGTATATATATTTTATTATTATTTATTTAAAATTGCGCCGTATCTTATGATACACGATACGATACAATATTTGTATCTTACGATACGCCTTACGATACACGATTTGATAACTATGCGCATGACTAATATATGTTTTGTTGTATGATGTTCTATAGTGTATATAATTTGTTAATGATATAGTATTGGTTAATGGAACTACTGTTGAACAATGAATTAGAAGTTTGGTCTTAGGTGATATGCGTTAGAATAAAAAAGAATTTAAGATAAACAAAATAGACACTAAGCATATGGAATGTGAATTTTGTAAGTAGTAAAAATGGGAGACTAAAGATCAAAGATAAAAAAATCTCCTATAGGTGGATACTTTCAATATTTGGGGTTAGTTTTAGATAAGGAGGGTGAAATTGGATATGATGTTAATTGTAAATTTGAGCAATACATCATATTTTATTTGATAATATATATAGGTCTGTCAAAATCTGACACGACACGATTAACCAACACGAATCGACATGAATTAAGCGGGTTTAGATGAGACCTTAACGGGTTTGGATGATAAACGGGTTAACCCGTTAGACACATTTAATAAGCGGGTCATATTTGGGTGGGACCTGTCAACCCGTTTATCATCAGTTTACCCGTTTAAAAAAAATAATATAATAATAAATTAATAATTGTTTTAAAAAAATTAGTCAAACTTAAAATATTATATATAAATATAAATATATGATAAATGAGTAAAAAAAATCTTACTTCAGAAAAAGTAAATACAAATTACTCACTTACCCCCCTTCTGCAGTGCTCGATGTGGGATTACTCACTTAGCCCCCTCTGTTTCTCTACCCCTTTGTTTCTTTCTTCTCTCTTTCTGGCTTCTGCAGATTAGAGATGGAGCTTGATCTGAGTTTGGGAGATTCATTAAATCCATTTGAGTTCTTGATGGAGTAGTCCCTACAACACCTGGACGGAAAGCAGAAGTTAGTAGCATCACCATCGAATACGACCTCGCTGGTTTAAGAGATTTTGTCCTTTGACTTCTCTTAAGACAAAGGATTAGAATGATTAAAAGGAGAAGCAGAAACAATGCGGAACCGATAGATATAGCGATTGTAGCTAATGTCAAGAGTTTTTTGGATTTATTTTGAAATGGGTTTCGAGGTTTCTGAGCTGATGGTGATGGAGAAAGTGAAGGGTGAGATGGGTTACATGGGAGCAATGGTTCGCCACAGAGATCAATGTTCCAGGTGAATGATGAAGTTGTATTGTTGCCAACGGCACAGTCAAAGTTTTGGCTTGAATCCAACATCGACAAATTCAAAAGAAGGAGACCTCTCATGCCTATAAAATGATGCAACCCCTTCCTTTAGTCATTAAACTTTCTCATTTGCTTTTGCAAGTGGCAGCCAATTGAAAATTTTTTAATTAAGAGAGTACAATTGGTGTGGGTAATTAATGGAGTTTAAAATTTTAATAGGATAGTTTTTTTGTTGCGGGTTAAAATTTTAATAGAATAATTTTAAAAAAATTAAACGGGTTGAATGAGTTGTGTTGTGTTACTCGTTTAAACAGTTCGTGTTTAAGTTTTTTACCCGTTTATTAAACGTGTTGTGTACGGATTCACTTGTTTAACCCGACTTGTTTGACACCACTAAATATATATATCATACTTGATGGGCAAGTTTTGCAAAATAACCATAAGACCTATCATGTTTTATGGTACAAAAGGTTAGGCGACTAAGAAACTACACAGTACTACACACGAATGATAAGATGGGTATATGGTGAAATAAGAAAAGATAGCTTTAAGAATTACTATATCATGAACTAGTAATATTGATGCGATACCTGCTGACCATAACATGAATGCTAAAGTCACGCTGCTAATTGTGAATGAGATAGTAAAAAAGTATATGGTACATGCTTTTAATTGGCAATAAAAATTACTGTAATAGTAACAATAGTGATGGAACGGATGTGAGGCGTAATGGGCATTGCATTACGATGACTAAAATTGGTGGCGTGAATTATGTTCTATACACACCTCCCCTAAAAATTAGCATATGCACATATCAACTTAGTAATTATGGACATCTAGCTTTTTGGTAATTTGTAATGCATTTCGTTGTACGAAAATATGATTTCAACTTGCTAATTTTTTCTTATTTTTTAATTTGTTACAATTTTTCAACACTCAATAATTATGATTTCATTATCAAAAGAGCTTGGCTTTGTGACTTTAAGCTTTGAACAATCATAGGCAGTAAAACTTAACTTCTTCCCTTACACTAACGAACCCTCTCCTTAAACCATCTCTATTAGGTTTGGAATGGAGTTGATTAACTAATTAACTAAAAATGCCATGAGTAGAGTAGCTACATGTCCCCAAAACAGCTGCCAGAAGGTAGTATGCTGCACCTTTTGTATGGCTTTCTAATGATTCATTGCCCACTATGTATGATCCTTAACTTTGTGGTTGGCTTAAATAAAATATTAAGTTTACTTGAATTTCAAAATTGTAACTAGCTGGAATACAACTTCTTTTCACCCTCCATATGATTTTTAATAAATAGCACTTCCTCTTTAGATCTTTTTTATTTTATTAGTTAGAGCTTCATTATTTTTCTCTCTTTTTATGTTCATGGCCCTTTGCAGCTCTCGGAGGATATGATCGTGGCTTGTATGTTGAGAAATGGGCACCATTTGTAAAGGTTAGCATCCATTTTATGGTAGTGACTTTTGTGCTGATATATATAACATTGTAGTGAGCAAGTGTTTGATAATTCCATTATTGTGAACACTGAACAGAATGCCCAATCCAGCATCACGTGCTTAGTTATGGTTATTCAATTTATTCAAATAAATATTAAGGGAAAGAAGGTGGAGCTGTTTCAATTGTGGAGTAATTCCATGAGGATTAAGCAGAAGCCTACTCATTGTAGTTACTTATAAAGATTTCCATTGTTACATTCACAAATTCATTTCACTAGAAAGCTAGAGGAATATGAAATCATTTGAAATTTTCAAGTTCATCATTATAAAGATGCCTTTTTACTTTATCAAAGTTGCTTGTAATCTTCTAAGTTTTTTTGGAACCTGACATGCTTTGGTAATTTCAAGTTCATCATTATAAAGATGCCTTTTTACTTTATCAAAGTTGCTTGTAATCTTCAAAGTTTTTTTGGAACCTGACATACTTTGGTAATGTTATAATATGTGACAAGCAATTTATAAGAAAATGTTTCCACAACTTGCAAGTGTAGTAGGAAGAAGTACAAAACCTTGATCTTTATAAATTTTAGGGAGAAGGGATGGTGTGCTGGTCATGACGAATGTAGTATTAAGACTGCAAAAGATTTCTAAGGCGTGTTTTACTTTTGTGGAGCCATTGTTTTGACATATGAAATCAAAGATCCAGATATTAACTTAATTGGATTTGGAGTTTAAGCTGAGTTGTCTCCAATATTGGGTCAAAGGTTTTTCCTAACTGATCAGCTTGGGATCACCCCTAACACTGTCTGTATAAGATATATTTATAAGCCTTTTTTTTGGGTATGTTTAGAGGGTGAAATTTTGGTCTGAATGCTGCTGTAGGGGTGGCTCACTAAAATTTTATATTACCAGGTCTGATGAGGATTATGGTTAATAACGTGTCCCTATTAGCAGAGTACCTTGATTATCTCAGGATGTTGGAGGAAGAGGTGGTTTGGGACCTCTTTTTTGCCAATGCAATGTGGTATTGGGTGATGAAAATGGATGTGCTTTCTTCTGCGTGTTGTACACTGACATGATTGGTGAAGAGGCGAAGCATTTTCATGAGATAAGGGCCTCAAAGTGGGGACAGTTTGAGGTGTGTGCCTCTCATTGGGAATTCACAGGGGACAGATCCTCTTATTTCCTTCAGAAGGCCATATGGCAAACCAAGTCTTTTTGTGAGTTGGACGGTTGTGCTCAAACAACATCCTAATAACCAATTGGTGTTGCATGAGTGAGGGAGACACTGAAAAAGAGGAGTGCCTGCTGATTTATAGCCTCCCTTTGGCTGTGACTTGTGGGTTCGTCTTCTATCCTTTTTGGATCCAGTCTATTGTGCTCAAATGATCTTTGGAGGTTTGACTTGCTGAAGGCAGAACTCCACAAAATAAACCCTATTTTGGTTAGGATCTAATGTAATATATTCTTGCATGCACGCCTTTATATGTGCATAATGTCCCCACGTCTGTTTTTGAAGTCAACTTCCGTATAGAGTGCAGGACTATTGCATGTTTAGTATCATAAAATCTAGAGAGTAGAAACAAACCCTATCCATTTCCTCCAAAACATAAACCTCTATATTTGGATCAATAGAAAACATTGTTTTCTCAATAATCATTTTGTTGTCATCTTCGTTGCCGTTATTAGCCATGGTCTAGTATCATGGATTAAACCATGTGAGGTAGAGATCAAAGCTTGCATGTTTGCGGAGTTTGCTGGCCCCCATGGGTTTTAGATGAGCAAAAACCCCATAAAATTGCTGGCCATTGTAGCAATTACAAAGTGGGCATTGGACAATCCAAACGGTCACCTATGGCACACTTACCAATATAGAGTTTTCAATTTTTTTTCCTTAGCCATCTGCTTCCAGTGACAACGAAAAAGAAAAAATGATCGAAAAGAGTAGAATGTAGAGGAAAATAATTCGACATATCTCCCCTTATGTGTTTTGTATGATGCTTGTGTGTGAAAGCCACTCTTATACAATGGTTTGAATCTTGTTTATGCATGTTTATCTGTCAATTAAGAAGTACATGTTACAATATTGTGTTAGGAGAAAGGGAGGAAGAGAAGAAGATCAAGGGAGAGAAGGATAATGAGAAATGAAGAGAATAATCTGTGTATGCTATGTTGCCCTTCACTCTCTTATTTATACTAAACTGATATTATGAGAATTACAATACTACCCTTTAACACTCAAAATATAAAATATGAATTCTAACACCTCTCTCGAGCTGGAGTATAAAAATTAAAAATGCCTAACTTGGAGCAATGATTATTGAAGATCGATTGAGCTAATGGTAAGGATGTCTCACAACCAATGTTATCAGAACTGGACCAGCTATCGAACCGGCAAGAGGACCGAGTCAATAATTCACTTGTTCAACCATTAGGTCAGCTAATCGAACCGGTCATATAATAAAAATATATATATAATCATTATAAAAATAATAATTTAACTAAAGAAATATAAAATATGACTACAATGCATACAACACCTAAGCCAAATATTAGATAGGTCCCAGATTGAAATTTTAAAATAGATATAATGCATATCCATCTCTCTCTCCTTCTTAGTCTCTCTGTCCAAAAGAGAATCTCATTGTATTTGAAGCTCATGTGGGCAATGTGTGTGTGTGTGTGTGAGAGAGAGAGAGAGAGAGAGAGAGAGAGAGATAGATAGAGACTGACTGAGTGAGAGGGCTTCTAGAAGAGGAGTTTCGTTCTCGTCGAAGTGAGCTGAGGAATTTTTTTTCAGCCTCCCTGAGTCCCTAGCGTTCTCGCCTTCTCTTCCTCGCTTGAGAGGTCGTCAGAGTGCTGAGTCTCATTGCTTGAGAGGTGAGCTCTGAGTGGTGGGTTCTAGTCAAAGTGAGTAGAGGAATTTTTTTTAGCCTCCCTGCTTCCCTCGCCTTCTTGCCTTCTGTTACTTGGTTGAGAGGTCGCCGGAATGCCAAATCTCATTGCCTGAGAGGTGAGGTCAACCGTTCGGTCCATGGGTTTAGTCAAAAACCGGTTGGTTTAACGATTCACGCACAATTTGCTTCTTTGTGCGGTCCAACTATAGAACCAGACCGGTCTAAGTCCCAGTTCACGGTCTAACCGGCCGATGTGGTCCGGTTTTAATAACACTGCTCACAACTAATCACTAGACTTGATGTATGTCCGATAATCCTCTTACGCATCAAGAGATCTCGAATAAAATGAAAGTCCACTTCGACGTGTTTAGTTCTCTCATAACATACTGGATTACTGATAATGAAAATAGCTGTCTAGTTATTGCAATGCATCTCCATAGGACAAAGACACATTAATACGTGTTGAAGTATAAATACTAAAGTTACATCCTCTCTAATAGCTTAAACTTTTGGAATAAATGATTGTTTAACATAGTATCAGAGCAGAAGGTCTATTTGAATCTTGCCACCATCCTAATTATTAAAAGATTTTCATGTGTTAGGTCCAAAATCTAGTGTAGTATGTTGAAGTATAAATATTAAAGTTACATCATCTCTAACAGTTTAAGGTTTTGGAGTAGATGATTGTTTAACAATATCTATATCATTAAGGAGAAACTGAACCCATATCTCACACGCAGTATGACTCAAGCCTGATATTCAGTCTTTGCACTCGAATTGATGGACCAAATTCTGTTTCTTGTTACGCTAAGTAACAAAATTACCACCAATAAACATACAGTAACTTGAGGTGGATCATTTGAGCATCAAAGAAATCAGTAATAATTATGAATGATGAATGACGATATAATAATTTTTTCCTCGATGTTCCTTTTAGGTGTCGAAAAATACAACAAACAACCTTCCAATGAAGCTTACGAGGAGTGTGCATAAAATGAATAGCCAATCCAACAACATAGATAATATTAGGAGTAACTATAAGATAAATCAGTTTACCAACCAACCTTTGACATTGTCCTACATCATCAAAAATTTTACTACTCTTAGCGTCTAACTTAACTATAGAGTCCATAGGAGTATTAGTTGGACATGTCCCAAGAGTCTAAGTCTCAGATAATAAATCCAATATGGATTTCTGTTGGGACAAACTTGATCTCAAAAAAATATCAAAGAATACTATCTTTGGTATGAAACTGCTTTCCTCAATGGACCTTAAAGTGGGCAATACAATCTAAGTCATTGCCACTAATGATAATGTCATCAACATACATAAAAGGAACGAACAAAAGCTAAATAGTGTGAAGTAGAATGCTGAAAACCATACTAAATTACAATAGTACTAAAATTATCAAACCAAGTATGGTGATTATTTCAGGTTATATAGTGCTTTCTTTAGACCACATACTAATTGTTCCTTATCAAATACAACATAACTTGGAGGTTGTACCATATATACCTCATTCTATAGGTCTCTATGTAAAAAAACATAATTGATGTCCAGTTGATACAAAGGTCAATCACAATCAACTGCAACATAAATAAGAATTTTAACAGAGTTAAGACGAGTAATAGGAGAAAAAGTCTCATAGTAACTCACACTATATGTCTGAGTGTAATCTTTGACAACCAAGCGTGCTTTCAAACGCACAACTGAACCTTGAGGATGATATTTACTTGCGTAGACCTAATGACACTTGACAGGTTGCTTACTAGAAGAAAGATGAGTAAAGGTCACATGTCTGGTTGTGATAAAGGGCTTTCATTTCCTTATCTATAGTTAGTTTTCAACTAGTAGATGCTAATGCCTGTTTCACAAAGCTAGGAACAAACACAAAAGATAGAGTCGTTGCAACACAACAAAAGGGTAAAAAAAGTTGATACAAATAAACAAAAATAGAAATGGGCTGTATAGTACAGTTACATTTACCTTTCCTTAAGGCAGTAGGCAAATTAGAAGAGGATGAACTAGTGACGGTTCAGAGGGCAGGACCTTAGAAGCAGGTGCTTGCGGTAGAGCTAGGTCATATGGAACAACCTGTTTGTGTTTTGGTGATAAACCTACAGGGATGAGTAGTAATCGGGGAGGAAGCACATACATAGTCAGCACAATAGGCAACAAGAGCTCCCTTTTACTAAGAGAGACTAAATCTGGAGAAAGAGTATGTCGTGATGCAGAAAAAAAAAGGAAGATGACTAAAAAAGATAACATCAACACTGACATAGTATCTGCGAAATACTAGGTCATAACAACGATAACCTTTCTGAATACAAGAATATTCCCAAAAAAATATTTGACCGAGTGAGGTGTAAGTTTATCTAGTCTCGGACCAAGAAGATGAAACAAATGCAACACATATATGAGAAAAGATATGCACTCTTAACACTGTCATTTAGGTTTTGGGAAAACATGTAAGGCACGGGCACATTGTTGCAAAATTGGTAACAGCATGAGAGTTATTCTAATCTGATGACGTAGGGTGTTCCCTTTATTCTTTGGCTTGTTTTTGATACAAAAAAACGTAGCTTTTGGTTGCCATCTTTTCCTTTCACTGTTCGATTGGTAAGTGATAAAGTAGATTTAGAGGCTAATTGCTTAAATACATTCTTGCTTTTTGATTCAGGAGCTTGCTGTCATTGTTGCAAGAGGAAGTGATAATTCCATTTTATGCTATCCTGTGGTCGAAACTATTCACAGGCAAGATTTCAGCTTCATGCAAAATAGTTTGTTGGTCATACTGTCCTTTTGCTCTTTATGTTATACGTTGGAACATTTGCTTTCTAGTATCGGGAATGCATTTTTCCTGGTGTCTTTTTTATTGGCTGTAACTTTTTATCCATCCACGTTGCTGTGGATCTTTTGTGCTCATAGGGAGAACATTTGTCATGTTGTCAAGGCACCTGCTAACGTGCCATGGAAGATTATGAAACTTGCAACTGATGTTGCATACAGAGCTGTTAGCTCTTTAGAAGGAGCTGGTGTGTTTGCAGTTGAGTTATTTTTGACAGCAGATGGTCAGGTTGTGTAATGATTTCATCGTTTAGAAATAGTTTCTTTGAGATGCTTTTTTATTTTTTTATCTCATTGCATTGCTGCTGGACTGCTCTGTCTTTGTGTGTTTGCCTTGGCCCAGATTTTATTAAACGAAGTAGCCCCTAGACCTCATAACAGTGGCCATCACACAATTGAATCTTGCTTTACGTCACAATTCGAGCAGCATTTGCGTGCTGTTGTTGGTCTTCCACTTGGTGATCCATCTATGAAAACTCCAGCAGCTATCATGTACAATATACTAGGTGAAGATGAGGTATTTTCACATTGGCAATCTTTATTAATAAACTAGTGCTAGAAGTTTCAGTTACCACTATTGCGTTTGGCACAAGTACTTGCAGATGTAAGGACGTTGAGGGGATGATAAAAAAACATATACCTTCTTGACTTCTTAAAACAGCTGGATGTTTGGTGAAACTATGATCAATGTAAAGCTTTGCAGAAAAAATAAACGCATACAAGTCATATAGCATGACATTATTATCAATGCTCATCAATGACGTACCAAGAAGAAACGAAACAGAACCAAAAACAAAAATCTAATACCTCATTAACTAGTCTATATTTCTCAATAAAAATTTGTTATTTGTTATCCATGGAAAATAATAACTGGAAATGTTAATGTTACACACGTTATTAAGATAGATGGGGTTCATATGATGGGTTTGCTGCTTGGGTTTGGAATAGAAACATAATTGGCCAAATGGCCAATATAAGAAAGAAATGATAAATAATAAAATTACCCAATAATATGAACGAAGAATTAAAGATTATTTAAAGGTCACCATTGACTTCAAGATCTTGGCTCTATAGGAATGCAATTCAAAATAACTGACAGAATATTGCTTATATATTTGTGATTACTTCAACACGATATTGCTTAACTGTTTTGAACTTCAGCCATCACAACTATTGTTATTGTGGATATGTGCTATATCCTAGATTATGAAAGTGGGATATCTCTTTCTAGGAAAATAGACTAATACTTGATTGATATGGCATGATTTTATTGATATCACTCCGAAGGAGAATCGGTTACAGCATTGTTAAAAATTCCTGCCTTATCTGTGTTTACATGATCGATAGATGTTTGGTTGCTTAAGCTTAAGTACTTGCTACTATTAAATGAAATTTTATATGCTACACTTAGAATTTTTTCTTTAAAAAATGACTATGAATCAACTATTGGAATCTCTGTTGTTGCAATTGAGGATGTAGAAGACAAAGCAACTTATCAAATGTTAATATGGTGCATGTAGGGAGAACCAGGTTTCCTCCGGACTCATCAACTTATTGGAAGGGCTTTGGGAATCCCAGGTGCTACAGTTCATTGGTATGATAAGCCAGGTTGGATAGCCTTGACCTTCACTCATGCTTTATATTTTTCATGCCTCTTCGGTTTCTTTTTTCTTAATTCTTCAAATGATATATTGTATGTTCAACAATGGTCTTGCAGAAATGCGAAAACAAAGAAAGATGGGTCATATCACAATTGTTGGCTCTTCTATGGGCATTTTGGAATCTCAGCTTAAATCAATGCTGAGGGAAGATATTATGGATGATCAGCCTGCAGGTCAGTGTCATTGAGTGTCTTGATAAATGTACCTTTTTGAGCAAGTGACAGAATCTCAGTTGACAAATGAGTCACTTTGTCTTTAAGCCTGCATAGTTTCACTCCATTGTGTTTTATGGAACCATAGTTATTAAACCAGGCCATGTCATCAATTCGCTAAAGGGACTGGGACAATGGGTCATTGGTTCAACTGTTAAGTCAATATGTTAAACCGGTTTGAATATGCTAAAAACTATCCACAATTCATTGATTTTGTTAGACAAATTTATAAAATCTAATAGAGCATAAAAAATATTCACAACAGGTATTGACTATTGGCATAAGTAGTAACACAATGATGACCAAACAAAAAGAAAAAAAAAATTGAAAGAAAAAGATTGGTACTTAAGAGGTATACTTGAAGGTATAAAAAAATGCCAGAAGCACACATGCTGCTATAAAAGAAGCAAGACCAGCCATCCCACCTCGGAAATCAATATGAAAGCAGCATGCGGTTATATAAGGTATACTTCTGCCACAACCTCACGTTGAAAAATGGCTTTGAATTTAGAGCCACAGATTGACATCATCAAGATGAGGTGGCAATCATGATCGAAAAAAGCGAACTTGGCTTGAAAGCCGCAAGATTTGAAGTCCTATTTTTTATTTTAGGTCAAAAAAATTTTGTTTTAATATAAGGAAATAGATCCATCCGGATTTATGGGAACTGTCCAGTTCATGCAAGTTTCATAAAGGCTTCTGGTTTGGGTGGGTTTTGGCAGATGGATTCCTTGAACGACTTAATATATAAACCGGCCTGGCTTAGGCACCAGTTGGCTGAGTTCCCGGGTTACCCTGCCGGGCCAGGCTGTGTTTAATAAAACTGTATGGAACACCAAATGTGTAGTGGAATGAAGTTTTGCCAGTTTGGGTAACACTGGGCAACTGCTAGACGTTGTGAAATTTTTAGGATGTGTGGTCATTTCAATTTTTACGTGTTTGACATAGTTGTTGAATTGATTATTTGTATCGTGATTTGAAATCCATGTTTTTGGAATCAAGAATCTAATGGAATTCCGAATCATAATGATTCAGTGGCAATTTCAATTACTGACAATATATTACATATGCACATGTAGCTTTTCAGGGAAAAAAAAGGATATTTACACATTTGAACAACAAAACATAACCAAAGTATATTCAAAAGGAAGAAAGTAGTTGAGAAGAAGGGAGTTTACGCCTCTGCATTAAGAGTTTACTAATTCCATCATCATAGCAAACCGCGTTGCTAAAGCATAGGCGTAGGAGAATTTATTACAACATTAGATATTTGATTTCGACTTCTTTACAATCCCATGTTTCCATCTTTGTCAAAGCATTCCATCCAAAAACTATTATTAGTATTTGTGTTATTTTATCTCGTCTTTGTTTGGCAGATAGAAAAACTAGCAATTTTCATTTTGTTGTCTACGCAAACTTGGAGTCACTCAACAACATTTTTTAAAAGGACAACCCATACTGTTGTCAATGGAAGAATATTTTCGCAATCTGTTTTAATCAAGAAAAGAATTCCGTTGACGAATAGCAGATATGTTGAGTAAAAAGGAGCTATGACCATATATAGAGAGAGAGAGAGAAAGTGGTATACTCTTTACCAAACATTTATACACTTCCAACCATATCTAAATAAAAATAACTGAGGGAAAAGGCAAACTGTATTAACCATAAAGCCCTTGGGCGTAGATTTATCACATGGTTTTAAAGGATGTCGATTTTATAGGTTACTAAGTCATCCAAATCAATTTGAATTCTGAATCGTGTGATTCCCTTGTGAATAAACATAACTTCCTGATGACTTGTAAAAATATTTATGTAACCTGCCAATGTGTATTGAAAGAGTAGTGAATAGGATTGAATCGTAAGATTTAGATGGAGAATGATAAGATCCTAACAAATATGGTTTTGGGCACAATATGGCAAGGCCATGGTTTAAAATGTGTAACTGCTTCCAGACAGATTCAATAATGTATGTGACAAGCTAACGTTCTTTATCGGGATTGGCGTCATCTGCCTGAACTTGTTTTATGCTTCGCTTGGCTATATGTACCTGATTTCATGTTATAGTTGACTGGTTTAATAAGTGAAAATGGCGCAATTTCAGTGACTTATACTATTTTCATCATGGTGTAGCTTGTGAAAATTGTTTAAACAGTTGAACTATCAAAATAAAATAAGAACATATTGGGATTTAGGCCCATTTAGGCTACATTTTTTATTTCATTCAAGTTTATTGGCGTCAATGACTCATGTTCACATTCCATTTTTATATTGATATTGCTTTCTGTTGCAGTCACACCACGTGTTGGAATTATAATGGGCTCTGATTCAGATCTTCCTGTTATGAAAGATGCTGCAAAAATCTTGAAAGAGTTTGATGTGCCTGCTGAGGTTATTCCCATGAAATGCCATTTATCAGCACTTAAAATGTTGCTTATAGCTTCTAGCAGACCTTCGTGAATTAAATTGTGCAGGTGAGAATAGTTTCAGCACACCGGACCCCTGAAATGATGTTTTCTTATGCTTTGTCTGCTCGGGAACGAGGCATCCAGATTATTATTGCTGGGGCTGGTGGTGCAGCCCACTTGCCAGGTTTGTTAAATGACCTGTGCTCCATAAGTTCTGGTGTAGTGTATTGAATGTCAATTGTGCTCTGAATAAGCTTTTGTTGTATTTAGGCATGGTAGCGGCATTGACCCCCATACCTGTTATTGGTGTTCCAGTACGTGCTTCTGTGTTGGATGGACTTGACTCCCTCTTATCAATTGTACAGGTATGTTTGTTTTTAGCTTCTTTGCATGTGTTTAACATTTAATGTTGAAGAATTTCACGGGCCTATTGTTCTTAAGGATGATATGGAAGGCTACACACCGATTCCTAATTTTTGCATTTTCAGCGTGTGATGTTACTGGTCTAGCATGTGCTGGGGTTGAAAAGAATGAATTATAGACTGTCAGTTTTTCACTGATGTAACCTCTGCAGCATTTAGAGAGGAAATAGTGGCAGTTTTGTTATTCAGTTTTCCTCGATTCTAAACTTGAAACCATCAGTGTAATAATGTAAGTAGAAAGGGGTTGTGCGGATCTTTTTCTTTTTTGTTAATACCTCATTGGTTGCAAATTAATTAGGTGTAATTAGTCTTACATGTGACTTGGGCATTATGGAAACGCCTTCCTGCATGCATGGGTAAGGCTGGTTTCATCTGACATGGCTCGTCCTTTTAGTCTTACATGTGACCTGCATTTGTGTTGCTTAAATATCTTTGTCCAAAATTTTCTTCATCTATACAGATGCCAAGGGGTGTTCCAGTTGCAACAGTCGCAATAAACAATGCCACAAATGCAGGTTTGTTGGCAGTAAGAATGTTAGGGGTTGGGGACGCCGACTTACAAGCAAAGTTAGTCCCTCTCTCTTTCTCCGCCAAAGCACATGTCACATTTATTTCTTAGGGGGAGACTGACTAAACAGCCTCTTTTATTTCTTTATACTTTTTAGAATGGTCCAATACCAAGAGGACAGAAGAGATGAGGTCTTGGTAAAGGGGGAGAAGCTCCAAAGAGGTGGTTGGGAAGATTACTTGAATGCTTGAGTTCCAACTCTTGTCTAGTCGTTTCTTTTTTGTGAAGGGTACCTTGCTCATCAAGGTATTCAATTTTGGAGAAAATTTCGCCAAGGACTGGGAAATTATGAGCAATAGATTTCATAGCGCAGTGCATGAAGTGCAGATGTCCATCAGGAGGACTGAGTGCCTGTGTAACCAATTCTCTCTATTTATAATTGCTTCTTCGGCCAAAGTGGCTAACTTTTTTGTAGTCTTAGAATTATGCATCTTGTCTGGCCAGGGCGTGGAAAGTGGTATTCAAATGCATCTATGTGTAATCTGATTGCATTGATTTTAGTTCACAAACCTCAAATTTCCAGTGAAATATTTGTGGAAATCACTTTGTCTGCAATGGTGTTGATGAATGCTGAAAGTAACACCATTGCATTTTTATATGTTCATGTTGTCAATTATAGGGTTCATTGACAATCGCTTGTCATGGTGATTGTGCAAATATAATGCGTCATTACCGTGACGTTGCATTGTCTGTTTATGATAAAGTGGAAGTCAGGTTCGGCTCCTAGAGTGAACAAGTACCATTTTCTCTTACTAAAGCAGTCTTTTTTGCTTTCTAAAACAATTTTGAACAGTATCATACTTTCAAACAATTGCCACGGTATTAGCGTCTAACTTCAAACAATAAACCATGGGGAACCCGGACCCCACACTTGGGCCTGCAGGGTTTTGTTGTTGTTGCTGTGTGTGTCCTCTCTTTTTTTTTTTTTTTGGGGGGGGGGAGGGGGGGAGGAGAGGTTGCGGAAGGGGACAGTCTGATTTGTTTGGGTGGAGATTTTCAGTTAGCCAGACTTGCCCAAATGAGTTCGATGATTTAGATCAAATTGAATCTTCTAATGTTATATCCCATGAATCTTATTAGTTGGTTTATTTAGCGTAATAAATCATTGAAATTGACAAAAATAAAAAAGGGTTTTTGGGAAGTCGGAACACCTTTCATTATTTATTGGGCTTCAAGTCCAAAGCGAAAACCTTTCTTTGGCAAATGGATATTTTGGAAGAAAAGGATTGAATTATCCTAAAACTAACGTTTATTGTTGCAAAAACCGGAATAGGAAACCGAATTACAAATGCGTATCTCTAGCTGATTCAACGGCACCAGTTATCATGCTCTCTCCAAAAACAGACGATGATTGCACGCTTCAACCAACCATTTGAAATTGGGAAAAAAAGATTCTCATATATTTTGTCTATTCACAAATTTTGAATTTCATTCAAGGATTCGATATCAGCGATTTTAAGAAAAAAAACATTGATTTGAGACGACAACTTAGGGTTTGCTCTTTGCATCAACGGTCGCTGGGATTCTTTTGTCATTATCAATGAGTGACAAAAGGTTAAAAATTCATCTTTCATTAGAATTCGACTGTAATATGAATGATATTATTTTATATAACCCCCCAAATTTATGAGAAAAAAACACTAATATGTAATAAAAATTATAAAATAGGGTTTTTGTTCTATATTTGATTGAATGTATTTAAAATGTATATCTAGGCAGATAAAATTTTAACATTTATTTTTAAGTATCCATGTGGTGTCACTCTATTAAAAAATATATGATAACTTAGAATACGCATTTGGTATAAAATTCAAAATGTCACTCTATGCAACTCAATTGAGTGAAGTTAATAATATTGCTCAACGGGTAATACTACCATTTTTATGATTATTATTCTTTCTGAAGTAGTCTCTTTTATCAGGGGCGGCTCAACGTAAATTAAGGCCTAAAGCAATAATATTAAATGAGGTTTTTTTATTTTTAGTATTATTTTTTTAAAAAAAATATTTTTAATTTTTTTTTAAGTGAGAGAGGAGGATGTGATACTAAATTTTTGTTTTTAAGAGAAAGAGAGAGAGTAAATATGAGTAAATATGAGTTGACTTTTGAATTTTTTTATTTATTTTTAAAATTTTTGATTTTTGAGTTTCTAATATTATGAATTGAATTATAAGTCTAAATTATTGAAATTATAATTTTTTGATTAGACTTAAATTTTTTGGGGCCTTTTTATAAGGCCTAAAATTTTCATTGATTTAAATTTTTTATATGGACTAGTTATCTACTTACAATTATGAGGCCTTCTAAAATTTTGGGGCTTAAAACCCATACTTTTTTTTAATACTATTGGGCCGGCCTGCTTTTTATCTAGACACATTATCTAATCATTATATGAAATAAGTACTAATCACTCTACATTTTTTATTATTATGATTTTTTCTGAATTCATTCTATGTAGTCACACTATTTAGTTATCCTTTAGTCTCCATTTATACCTTGCTTAAGTTTTTAATAGATGTTAAGGGCTGCATCAAATATAGCATCAAGTTTTTAATAGATGTTGCACAAATATAGCATGGGGCATGAATTCTAGTAACTGGCGCATGTGTTGGCTGTAATTTCAGTTTTTGTATTTATAATAGAGAAAATAAAGACAATTTAAACTAGGCTATAGGAATAATTTTTGCATACTTATATTTCATAATTTTCAGAAGAGTTTTTGCATACTTTCTTTAGCAAATAAAGATTTCATCTACTTGTTGGTAAATTTTAATGCACAAGAAGTAATGCAGAAGTCTCAAATCATTCATTTCATATTTTTTATCATCTCACTTTTAAAATCTTTAATTATTTTTTGATCATTCCCAATAAAAACTAAGACACAATGGGAATACCGGTCTTACTTTTGCTTCTTTGAAATCCTTCGCTTCTTTGAAATCATTTGCATTGAAATAGGAATCAAACTCATTATACCAAATTCAGGATGCTTGTTTTAGTCTGTACAAAGTATTTTATAGCTTGTACACTTTTTTTTCTTTGCCATTGACTGCGAAGTCTTGAATTGCTCTATATAAACTTCTTCTTTTAACACACCATTTAAGAACGCTAATTTTACAAAAACCAGTCTTTTTTGTGAAGCAAGAGCAATAAAAAGTCTTGTTGTATTAAGTCAAGCCACCGAAGCAAAAGTTTTTGGAAAATCGATACCAGGTTGTTGTGAATACTCATTTGCTACAAGTCTTGCTTTATTTTTTTGAATTGAATCATTCAAATTAAACTTTGTTTTGCAAATCTATTTCACCCCAATGAATTTTTTATTCTTTGGCTTTTTAACCAACACCAAAGTACTATTTTTCTCTATTACACGAATTGTATCTTCTATTGCTTTCTTCCAAACATCTTCTTTGATTACTTCTTCAAAACTTTCAGGTTCAACCACACAAAAATTACATCTAGCATACACATCACTAATAAGACTTCTTATTTTTCTTGGAGTTGAACTTGAAGATAAAGTGCTTGAACTTGAAGACGTAAAATGAGATGAAAGAGAGTTGGGTATTTGAGATATTTGTGATGGAATCTCAACTTCTTCATTTTTATTTTCATGCTCAGAGCTTCCATAATCTTCATTTGCAACAATAACTTAATTTTGAACATTATTTTCTTTCCAATCCCAATAGTCATCTTCATTAAAGAGAACATCTTTACAAATAATTATTTTGTTTTTCTTCAAATTAAAAAGTCTATAACCCTTTGATTTTGAGCTACCATCCACAAAAAATATATTTTTCATTACTTTCATCAAACTTGTACCTCATTTTTTTAGGAACATGTGTAAAACAAATGTACCAAAAAACCTTTTAAGTGGTTCATTGACGCCTTCCTTTCATACCATGCCTCAATTGGAGTTTGGTTCTCCAAAGCCTTTGTTAGACATCTTTTCATCATGTAAATCGCCGTGTATACCGCTTCAGCCTAAAATGATTTAGGTGACCCTTCTCATAAACTATTGATTTTATCATCTCAACAATGACTCTATTCTTTCTTTCGACCACTATATTTTGTTGTGAAGTGTACCCAACTGTTAATTGTCTTTTCATATCAATGTCTTCACATAACTTATTAAATTTATTAGAGTTATAACTTATACTCATCACCTCTATCCACTTTTCTTTTCAATAAACTTTTAAAATTTCTTGAACACTTGAAAAACTTCAAATTTTTTCCTCATAAAATAAACCTAAGTCATTCTTAAAAAATCATCAACAAAGATTATAAAGTATTTTTTACTTCCATGAGAAAGTGTTCTTTAGGGGTGGCAATTTCTAACACCACATGAAAAATATGACTTGAAATCGATATGAAATTAACGGGTTCTAGTTGGTCATTTCTTGACAAAAATTTGTATATGAGATGACCTGTTAACATGAATAATAAATGGGTTGGGTTAGTGTCAAACGTGGACAACACGAAATTGATACGATTAACATGTTTAAGTAGTATTACAAAAATAAAATACTAATTTTTTATTATATTTTATCAAGAAGTGACATAAATTTATACAAAAAAAAGATATTTTTACTCAATTTTATTATTATATTTATTAAGTTAATTTCTATTTTATAAAAAAAGGTATGAGCATAGATTTGACTAAGTGATAATGAAATTTTAGATATAAAACTGAGCGTTAAATTTTTTATTCATAAGTTATATGAGTTAATATGAACACGACATGCAAATAAATAGATCGACGCAACACGACATGATTAGTTAAACATGTTAAATTAGGATTAATTAGTATTCGACACGAACTCGAAATGACATGACATGACACGAATACGACACAACATGACACGATTGCAACCCCTATTCTTGGTGGTTTCCGTACATCGGTATGAACAAACTCTAATGATGATTTGACTCTCCAAACTTTTTCTTTTGGAATAGGATCTCAACAATGCTTTCAAAGTTCACATCCTTCACAAGTTTTTTTTTAGTTCTTATATAGATGACAATTCATAAACCATGTTTTTTTTGTTGGTAGGCTCTTCAAACTTCGAAAGTTCAAGTGCTCGAACCTTCTATGCCAAAGTCAAGATTTATCGACAACCTCCATCTTCAAAGAAACATGTTTGAATATCGAAAAATAAGAGGAAAATTTATGTTTTTCTCCATCTCAATTTTTACTATA